CTTCACCTGGCCTTGTTTTCCCCCATTAGCCCTGAATGTCTCTTCATCTTCTGTCATTCCAGCATTCTGAGGTATTTTCCTTTCAACCACCATGAAGACCTTCTTCCTTCTAGGAGCTGCCTGACTCCCACTGTGTTTACTGCTTCCTGGGGTCACACAGATATTGAGACCATTGTTTTAGGCCTGGAGCGATAGCACAGCAGTAGGGTGTTTGCCTTGCACGCAGCCAACATGGCCGACCCGAGTTCGATTCCTCCGCCCCTCTCGGAGAGCCCGGCAAGCTACCGAGAGTATCTCGCCCGCACGGCAGAGCCTGGCAAGCTCCCCGTGACCTATTCGATATGCCAGACACAGTAACCACAAAGTCTCCAATGGAGACGTTACTGGGCCCGCTCGAGCAAATCGATGATCAACGGGAGGGCCTTTACCTTTACCTTTACCTGTTTTAGGCCAAATCAACTCACAAGGCAGATTACTGCCTCCAGTGAGGACCATCAGGCAGGATTAATGTTTCCTCCAGAAATACCTCAGGCCCTTCATAGAGGGGGGAGAATAAACAAGTACAAGAGAGAATATACAAGTACCAAATCTATCAAGCCCAGCTTCCTCTCCGTAAAATCTGTTGGATACCACTTTTAGTGTTGAGAATTTGAACAGCAAAATTTTGTTGTTGTTGTTGTTGTTGCTACTCCATAAAGAGACCCATGGTGATCATGTAGCACATCTGATCTCCACACATGGAGCTGCCGCGTTCCCCAGAACCTGCCAGAAGGTGAACCCAGTGAGTGAACTGTCTGGCTGTCTGGCTCAGTTATGGGGAATCCTGCCAAGTTATGGGAAATGCCTACAGAGAGCCACCATCTTTCTTTTGATAGAATCAGCAGAAGAGTAACCAGACACCACAAACATCTTATTCAACATCTCCTTTGCTATCTAGTAAACCTGTAATATCAACTGTGATATTTGTGCTCTTTAGGATAAAGGGCAATATTATTCAGTCATAAAAAAGATTGAATGGCCCGCGTCCCTCAGCTGCTGCTATGCTGACTCACTCACGGGCCCTGATCTACAAATACCCGAAGTAATCTCCGAGAAGATGCACACCAAGCAGCTAAAATTCATGGAAAGGCTGGTCCCTGGGTCTGAAAACTCCAGGGAGCCCTCAGGAGGCTGGTGGGGGCTGAGTGCCTGCCTAGCTGAAATCCCCAGTAGCCACCCCACACCTCACTGCTGCAGCCATGCCAAGGGCTCAATTCCACTGCTTCATGAATATTCTCTTCAGAGACTCCAAACTTCAAATAATTTTGGGTGCCAAACACAGTACCAAGTCTCACAATGTTACTGGGCCCGCTCTAGCAAATTGATGAACAACAGGAGGACAGTGACAGTGACAGTGACCCAGTGTCCAGGGTGAGAACTCTGGTGTCTTCTTGGGGGGTGGGGTGGGCAGCCTCTCCCCAATCACCCACACTTCCGGTAAGCCCAGTGGCCACACCCACCTCCCACAACTGCCACCATCTTGACTCATTGGCCCAGACCATAGATACTGAAGTCACTGGACACCTCCTAATTCCTCAATACTGAAGTTCCAGGAGCACACTGAATCACAGAGCAAAATAACACAGAAGCCAGCTAAAGCCAACCAACAAAAGCAACACTGCAGAAGGCTCAACTAGCAACAAACAGCTTAGGAAATTCATAGACAAGGACTTAATAACCCCATAATCAGGTCTAACAATTTTCACATGAAAATCTGATTTTTTAAGACATTGATTTGAATATTGGAGCTTTGTTATCTAACCAATTTCATCTCCAGAATTATATCAACGGTTGTGGCTTTTGTCTACATTAAAATAAATTCTTTAAACTTTTGAATAATAAAATATAGTTTTTCTGTTCCAGCTAAAAGATTTAAAATCCATTGTTTGCTTTTCCCTTTCTCTGTTACAGCGAAGGAAATGATGACCACTTATGTTCATTAACTAAAACCTGAGAAAACTAATTAAGTTTCCAGTCTCTTACCGTTATCTGGCAATGCAGACAAGCTCCAAACAACTCGACAGGCACTTCTGAAAATGCAGCCTTGTTTTATTGTATATTGTGGGAAGAGGACTGTTGGCTCTCTGACCGCAACTGAACTTCCAAGTTCCCTTTTATAAACTTGGATAATGAAGCAGACAGACCACAGTTACTACTGAGCACTAATGCAGTAGGAATGAAATGAAAACAAACAAACAAAAAGTTTGAATGAATGTCTGATTTGTGCTATAATGCAGATGAGCTTTTAAAATATGAAGCCAAACACTAAAGGATAAATATTATATTGTTCTATTTATATGAGGTATCCAGAATAACAACAGTCCATAGAAACAGAAAATAGCACCAAAGCTTTCTCTTTTTTTAATACAAAAATGATCTATTAACATAGAAGTTAATGAGAGAGATGAGGAAGGTTAGGCATTTGATTAAGATTTACTCTGACCTAGGAAGCGATAGCACAGCGGGTAGGGTGTTCGCCTTACAAGCGGCCAACTATGGCCGACCCGAGTTCGATTCCTCCGCCCCTCTCGGAGAGCCCGGCAAGCTACCGAGAGTATTCGATATGCCAAACACAGTAACAACAAAGTCTCCAATGGAGACGTTACTGGGCCCGCTCGAGCAAATCGACGATCAACGGGAGGGCCTTTACCTTTAGGAAGATTTCTGTCCTCCTGGTTTTCTCTTAGATCTTCCAGAAAGCAGATGTTCTGCACAAAAACACCAATAGCCTTGGGTTTGCCATGTTTATAAACATTTGGCCCAAAGCCTTCTATAGCCGTGGAATCAAAGCTCAACGAAAGTGGGGAAATGTAATGACATTCTTTTTTTTTACATGTGCTATGTAGTTTATTTATTTTTTTTTAGAATTACAAATTTTTGTGCTTGGGTTTCAGTTATACAATGATCAAGTACCCATCCCTCCACCAGAGCCCATCCTCCCCCATCACGGGTCCTAGCATCCCTCCCACCCCCCATCCTCCCTGTCCCACCCTGCGCTGTGGCAGGGCATTCCCCCTTGTTCTCTCTCTCTTCTTTTGGGTACTGTGTTTTGCAAGAGAGGCATGTAATGACATTCTTGGCCTTTATAAAGGTGAGCATAGGGATTGGAGAGAGAGTACAGCAGACAAGATGTTTGTCTTGCACACAGCCAACAAGGGTTTGACCCCGGGTGCTCCATATATCTTCTTTGTCCCACCCTAAGCACTGTCAGGAGTGATCCTTGAGTGCAGAGGCAGGAGTAAACCCTGAACACTGCTGACGAAGAGAAAAATAATAAATAAATGTAAAAAAAATAATCAGAGGGGCCAGAAATATAATTACTGGTACAAACATTCCTTATGTGTGTGAGGCTCTGGAAGAAGAAAATTAAGAACATGAGATGAGTGAACACAACATTATTTAATCAGAACGTCAAGTTTAAAGGCTGCTTGACTCTCCTGTGATATGTTGACCAAGAAGATCTGGTGCTATCAAGAGTTGACAGAGGAGCCAGAGAGACAGAATTGCAGGTAGGACATTTGCCTTTCATACAACAGACCTGGGTTCCATCTCTGTATCCCATATGGTCCCCCTGAGCTCTCCAGGAGGGATCTCTGAGTGCAGAACCAGAAGTAACCCCTGAGAACTGCCAGGTGTGACCCAAATCTCATCACCCCCAAATTTCTGATAGAATATTACCAGTTGAATAGACCAGTTCATTATCTACGTATGGCAGAAATTCGATCCCATTTACTCCGTGTTAAATGCCGAAGTTTCCTCAAGAAAAAGCCGTAGATATTAGATGAATGGAGAGAAGGTCAGAGAGGTGGGTAGGTGGCTAGGTGGCTAGATGAATTGGTGGATGGGTGGATAGAAAGGCAGATTGATGGGTAGATAATGGGGACAGATAGGTGGCTGGGTGGATAAATGGACGGAGGGTCTGGATTCATGAGGAACCTGAGATGTTATATTATACATGAGATTTTATATCAAGTTTAGACTGTCTATTCTATTAGTCTGCAAGACACTCCTCATAAAGACTATTCCAACAACTGTCATCCACTTGGTGCAAACTAGTCTGTTTCCCCAGGATGGTGTTTCTCCTGATCTCTCAACCTCCACAGTAGCTGTAACCCTCACTCTTCCTTCTGTGTGGGACAGGGAAGTGACAGAGGTGAGAGAGGGCACACCCTGCGTGCTGAGCTAAGTGTTTAGCAAGACGAAGCATTGCACGCACCAGGCCTTGAGAATGGAGACCTTCATTTGCCCTCGCCTTCGCTTCTGAAATTCCCACATTGCAGATGTGGTCCCAACCAAAAAAAAGTTTTTTTAATTTTTTTTAATTAAAAAAAAAACAAGGTTCAGAGCAATAGCAATAGTCCAGTGGGTAGGACACACAGAAAGAAAGAAAGAAAGAAAGAAAGAAAGAAAGAAAGAAAGAAAGAAAGAAAGAAAGAAAGAAAGAGGGAGGGAGGGAGGGGAGGGAGGGAGGGAAGGAAGGAAGGAAGGAAGGAAGGAAGGAAGGAAGGAAGGAGAAAAAAGAGAGAGAGAAAGAGAGAGAAAGAAAGAAAGAAGAAATAAAGATAGAAAGAAGAAGAAAGAAAGAAAGAAAGAAAGAAAGAAAGAAAGGAAGGAAGGAAGGAAGGAAGGAAGGGAGAGAGAGAAGCACTGTGCTGTATTCTTAGGATGTTTCATTTTCTCATGTATATTACTTTCATCTATTGTTTTTTCAGTTTGAGGTTTGTGCCCTACCACTGAATCACATCCCTTTCTATCAGAGTGAAAAGAAAAAAATTAAGCTTGGTTGGTCGGTAAGACCATTGCACAGTTATATAATCAGCATTCTTTTCCAAAACTGCTTTCAATTATTTCTCTACCATTAAACCACCAGCTCCTTAGCTGCTTTACCCAATTGTATGTTCCACCTTCCTAGGTTCATGTGGTCCCAAGCACCTAACAGACATGAAAGGAATCTTCAAAGAGTGCTCGCTTTGGCAGCACTTATACTAAAATTGGAACAATGCAGAGAAGATTAGCATGTCCCCTGCGCAAAGAATCTTCAAAGAGCCAAGATTCATTGGGTGACCTTCCTCTAAACCCAAGAGCTGATCAGACTAGGAATCCTAAAGGTGCACTGTTCTAGGACTCAACCTGCCACCAGGCTTCTTCCCACAAACTCTTAATTCTCTGAGAAGCAGAAGATTCCTCAGTGAGATGCTAGGAAAAGGGGAATGTGAGAAGCAGCTAGCCCACCTCTTCTTACTCTGGTCATAAAAGTTGTAAGGGACAGCTCTGGCCAAGAGGAATAAATGATTTAACTGAGTTAACTAGTTTACAGCAGCTGACCCAGAGAAGCTCCTGCAAGAACATAAGGCCAGGAAAGGAATTTCGAAGACCATCACCATTCCCAAGCCCCCTGGTAACTGCCTTAGCAACCGCACTTTTATCTAGGTAGAAGCCCACGTGGGGGCAGGTTGGAGGATCCCTATAAAGGCCACCTTGACAAAGGAAGGGTGCGCATATGCTGCCCGAGCCCATGTGCTGCTTGTGCCCACATGGCCAAGCACAAGTGCCCAAGCACATGTGTTGCCCGCATGTCCCCTTTTCAGATGTGTACTTTCATGCTTTTGTGTCTAGCTGATAAGATGCTTTCTTGATGTATGGGAAATGGGAATGTCATCTTAATTGGGAATGTTTATTTTCTTGATAATTTGCTTTCGTATGCCTTTGTTCGCTTTGGACTCTTTGTAAGTTACTTTTGCCTTTGGCGTTGTTTTTTTGTTTTGTTTTGTTTTGTTTTTAATTTTTATTAGTGAAACACCATGAGGTACAGTTGTAGACTTACAAATTTTTGTGCTTGGGTTTCAATTATACAATGATCAAATACCCATCCCTCCACCAGTGCCCATTTTCCTCCACCATGGATCCCAGTATCCCTCCCACCCCCCATTCCCCTCATCCCGCTCTGCCTCTGTGGCAGGGCATTCCCTTTTGTTCTCTCTCTTCTTTTGGGTGTTGTAGTTTGCAAAAGGGGCATTGAGTGGCAATCACTTTTGGTCTATAGTTTACTTTCAGCATGCTTCTCATCAAGCTCCCGCCTTAGTCAGGATGTCTTGGCCCCAGCTAGCTGGTAAAATAAAATCTTGATGTGTGGTTTGTATTCCCGCTGGATTCTTTGTCTTTCTGAATACTGAGGAGTGGTCTCGGTCCTAACATTCTCTATTCTTAACACATTCCAGAGACCTTGGACATAATCCCTAGCACAGTGGGGCAAGGGCTTTGGGTGAGTTAATCCCATTCGTCCTGTTTTTAACTTTGGGTGGCTCATGCCTTAGCTGTCTGTTCCTCTGCAGCAGGAAGCCCAGTGCCAGAGGGCTGGGCTAGCCCCGGCTCTGACCCTGCTAAGCACTTTCGCCTCATCGCCAGCCTCCAGAGCGCCTCTCATCTTCTGGAACATTCCCCGTTGTCTCCACTCTATGCCTTTCAGAAAAGGCCATTTGTGCTCAGACTAGAGGAATCTAAAGCCTCAGCAACCTCCCACCGCCTTCTAGGAAAGTCCTTCTCCAAAAGGGACTAAAATAATTGTGGGGGGGGGGGAATGAAAGGGGGGCGGTGGACCCTCCAGCTGTGGGCAGGCCGACAGTGAGTGAGCACACAGGAGTACACAGAGTTCAGAACCCAGCGGGCCCGTGGGGGCGCCTGCACGCCCGGCGAGCTGACCTTGAGCGTTTCTGCTTCCCATGACCTCATCAGGAGCTGGATTAGGTTGCTTCTGAGTATCCCCTAGCCCCAATCCACACCACAAGCCTGCTTGGTGACCTCAGTATCCACCTAACTGGCACTTGTCTTCAGCAATAAGAAATTAAACTTTTTTTCTTTTGATTTTCTGTATTTTGCAAGCACTTGCTACTGTTTAAACTGTTGGCACTGTGTGATGTGGTGTGGTGTGGTGTGGTGTGGTGTGGTGTGTGTGTGTGTGTGTGTGTGTGTGTGTGTGTGTGTACGTGCACCAGAACCCCTCTCCTCCTCCCCAGTCTATAGTTGGGGAGGAAAACTTAGAGAAGAAAACTTTTTTTTTAAAAAAAAAGAGGGATGTTGGGGCCAGAGCATTAGAACACAGGGATGGCATTTGCCTTGCACACTACTCGGGTTCAATCCCCAGCATCCCGCATTGTCCCCTGACTCGGTCAGGAGTGATTCCTGAATGCAGAGCTAGTAGTAAGCCCCGAGAAATGTCGATGTAACCCCAAACACAAACAAACAAAAATTTAAGTGGGTGGTATATAAAATAAGAATTTTAGTAGCCGCAAAGGAGAAAGCAAAGTCCTCTGGAGGCTGAATCCTTCCAGAGCACGGAGGTCCCACTGGGTTACCTCGGCCTGCTGGTCTTTGCAAACTTCTGGCGCCATCTGCTGGGCACCCCAGAAACAACCGCCCCTTTAGGTTGCCAAATGACTTGGCCAGGCTGATGAGAACGCCAGCCAGACGCAGGTTTCAGGATAAACATCGGGTTCTCTTGCGTCTGGAGCCAGCGATAGTACAGCGGGTAGAGCGTTTGCCTACCCGGCTTCGATCCTCAGCATCCCATGGGGTCTCCCGAACACCACCAGGAGTAATTCCTGAGTGCAGAGTCAGGAGTAACCCGAGTCAGATGTTCTTCCCACCTTCTGCAAAATACATATATTTTAAATCATGTCCACTTTACTCGCAGTTGAAGACTCCACCGTGGATATTCTTTGCAGTTGGGTATTCATAGACAAGCACCTTCTGACCAAGGGAGGGACCCCCAGTCACCAGGCGCTGTCCCTCCTGCAAGAAGACACGACACTCCTGCTCCCCTTTCCAGCGAGGTACCCCTGTCACTCCCAGCTCTCACCCTCTCTGAACAGGGTTGGTTTACTTCCTCCCTCCATATAGCTCTCTCTCCCCCTCCCTCCCTTTCTTCCTCCCTTTCTTCCTCCCTTTCTCTCTCTCTCTCTCTCTCTCTCTCTCTCTCTCTCTCTCTCTCTCTCTCTCTCTCTCTTCTCTCTTTCTCTCAAACTTACCCCCCCCTTCCTTGGGACTCCAGATAGCTTCAGCTTGGTGACCTTTGGACTAAGTGGCTCAAGAATTCCCACATGGTCCAGAGCAGCCGAAGTTCTAGAATATCTTCTAAGGGGCTGGAAAGATAGTGTAGGGCGCTTGTCTCATACATGGCTGACCCGGGTTCGATCCCTGGAACCCTATATGGTCCCCTGAGCACGACCAGGAGTGATCCCTGAGCACAGAACCAAAAGTAAGCAAACCCTGAACACTGCCACTGTGGTCCCACCCTCTTCTCACCCCCAATAAAAATGGTAAATAAGAAAAAAAGAAATCCTCTCATTTATCTTTCCGCCTGATTAGAGTCTGGTGGCTCTGCCTGCCAGGGCACTTGTCATTCCCAGTAGGCCCCAGACTTGGGGGCATGTTGCCCAGCTCCCCACTTTCCCCCTAGAAGCACCCTCAAAGTCCCTTTGCTCTTGAAGCTGGCTTTGAGGCTCATGAATAGAGAATACCCTACATACTCCCTAAACTGCCCCCATTGGAGGTGCTGGTGGGATAGGAATTTCTTTCTGACACTGTCATCTACTTTGCAAACAGCTGTCTCGAAACAACAGGCTTCAAAGCAGTGCTGCCCAGACTCTTCGGAGAGACCCCCCCCCCCAAAAAAAATTCCCACAGTTGGAACCTTGATAAGAAAAGACACAGAGGGACCAGAGATAGTCCAACAGGTAGGGCACTTGCCAGTTGAACCCCAGAATCCCCTAGGGCCTCCTGAGCCCCATCAGGAGTGGTCCCTGAGTGCAGATTCAGGAATCAGCCCTGAGCATCACCCAGTAAGACCCAAAACGACAACACATGGTGCTTGCCAGCTTCTTCAGAGAGATATACCCTCCCATCTGCCCAAAGCTGGCGCCGTGGTATCAGACACACAGACCTGAACTTCTCCCCCAGTGCCTGGCGTAGAGCTCCTAAGTCCTTGGGACCTCCCACATGGCAAGGCTCCAAAGGTCTCCCTTCCCTTGTAATACTTATATTCTGTCCTCAGGGCCTGTCACAGAGCGGTTCCGAGAGATTCAGGGCTGATGAATGCCCCGTGTCTGGGAGGGAGGATGAGGGTGCACCCCAAATTTGATGGAGACAGACCAGTGGTCCTGCACTTGCCTTTCAAACCTCACCCCCTTCACTTGATCTCAGCTACTCCTTGGAGTCCTTTTGTGACAAGCTCATGGAAGTTTGTTTATTTTTTTTATTAAGTTATGAATTCATTAACTCATTAGTTTAATTACAGACACCACTCAAGTCCTTTCGAACTTCTTCCCCATCTTCACAGGGTTATTTCATAGGATGGAGGGAGAAGGTCCTTCTCAAGACAAAGGAGTGTGGGAACCCCTGATTGGTCCCCCGGGAGGGGGGTGTGCTGCCATATTTGGAGGCGGGCAGGAAGGCCACCTCCCCCTGTGGCTCCTACTTAGCTGGCCAGCGGGCAGCCAGAGGATATGCTGTAGATCAGCGGCCCGGCCAGACGCTCCTGAGGCTCCTGCGCAGACCAGCCCAGGTAGGTGGGAGGCAGAGTCCTCTCTACAGGGTTCTGCCCGCTCTAACCCAGCTGCAGAGAGGTGGGGGTCTTATTCCTGCCACTTCCAACACTGGCACCCAAATGGGGGGACACTGGGGAGAATGCTGGGGTGACACCAGTGTTCACGGCTATGTCTGGGGTTTCGTGAGGGCTGGTGATGGGCTGTTCTTTTATTTGGAAGCCCTGGGTGGTGCCGATAACTCCTTCCTCAAGATCTCTGTGCTTTTGGGGCTGGAGTGATAGCACAGCGGGTAGGGTGCTTGCCTTGCACGCGGCCAACCCTGGTTTGATTCCTAGCATCCCGTGTGGTCCCCCAAGCACCGCCAGGAGTGATTCCTGAGTGCAGAGCCAGGAGTAACCTTTGTGCATTGCCGGGTGTGACCCAAAAAGGAAAAAAAGAAAAAGATCTCTGTGCTTTCATCATCAATTCCTGCGAACTGCCTGTCATTTATGTTATCATTTTCTTATTGTATTGATTGGGAGGGCCC